AATAAGAAATGCAGAGAATCAATTCTTATGCACTGCACTTTCTCTTAATGAGATCTATCATCCTATGAAGTTTCAAGTCCATAACTTTTGTACTTTCGGAGAAATGGCCTGGACAAAAATTAAGTATGAAAATTAACAAAGGGCCATAACTCAAAAAATAAGAACTGCAGAGTACCGGTTCTTGTGCACTGCACTTCTTAATGAGATCTATCATCCTATGAAGTTTCAAGTCCATAGCTTTTATACTTAAGGAGAAATTGCCCAGACAAAATTAAAGTAGGAAAATAAACAAAGGGCAATAACTCAAAAAATAAGAAATGCAGAGTACCTGTTCTTGTGCACTGCACTTCTTTTTAATGAGACCTATCATCCTATGAAGTTTCAAGTCCATGGCTTTTATACATTAGGAGAAATGGCCCGGACAAAAATAAAGTATGAAAATTAACAAAGGGCAATAACTCAAGAATTAGGAAGTGCAGAGTACCGGTTCTTATGCACTGCACTTCTTCTTAATGAGATCTATCATCCTATGAAGTTTCAAGTCCATAGCTTTTTTAGTTGAAGAGAAATGGCCCGGACAAAATTAAAGTATGAAAGTTAACAAAGGGCAATAACTCAAAAAATAAGAACTGCAGAGTACCGGTCCTTGTGCACTGCACTTCGGGTTATTGAAAGAAGCATGCATACCAAGTTTGAAGTCAATCAGACTTATAGTGACTGAGTTATGCTCCGGACAAGCTTTAGGGAACGCCGACAACGACGCCGACAACGACGCCGCCGACACAGACGCCGCCGACGCCGCCGACAAAAGTAACCCCTATATGTCACCTTTTCAAGGCGACACAAAAATGGTGAATGTTTCAGACGTATGCACAAATTTAACGGACAAAAGTTGTTGTTTTTTGCAGACATTTGTAAAACGTTGTTCTGTTTAACGTATAAATCTAGAGATTTAAAATATGTTGCACAAAAACTTTGTTGTTTAGGTGTATGAATACAATATGTCAATTCTGACCAATTCTAGCACTAGTCATCTGAAAATATGCCATTACCGTGAAATAAATGATGACGCGGAATTAGTGATGTTGAGTATAGGTTGTTTACGAGATAATGATCTCACTTCCCTGCATAATAGTGTTTCCTATATCAATGTGTTTCTTTGCTAAAGAGAAGTAATTTCACTTAGCAAAGTCATATTTTAAATGTTTAAAGTCAAATGTGGCATTAGTTCTGGCTTCCAAAACTTTATATGCCGCTTTTTAACATTTTTGTTTTTCATCTGATGCGGCATTAAAGTTTTGGATTAGACCCGTTACGAAACCTAACCAGAATAACATAAGTTGATTTATTCTTGTTTTTCACTTGCAAATACACTTGACCCAATCAATTCTTGTGCATTTTACGATAAAACAATCATTTTAGTATCATTCTATACCAATTAAAGTATCAAAATATTAATACCGTCATTAAATTGCCTATTCAACTGTAAAATATCAATTTACGCCGACTACAGTTGGCCATGACATTCAGGTGCCACGCGAGATCTCGTATGACGTCATTCGCGGGAACAGATTTGAATAGAGTCGTGTATCTATATTTAGAACATTTTGTTGACATGATTTTGATACTTTTATTCAAGATAATGTTTTTATTTATTTTCATTAATTTTTTAGTACTTAAATATGATTGTATTGAATATAAAAGTCAGTAAATCACCTTTTTCAATATCTTTAAAAAAAGTAATTTATAAAAATATTGGAGACACATGGGTTCGTAAAGGTCAATCTCGTAATCACGTGATCAAACATTTTGGCAATATGGCGGCCAAGTGCCGAAAATTTTACCTGTCGGAAACTATTAGGTAGTTTATGTTCGTAATAAGATTTTTATTTGTCCATCCTTGGCTTATCAACAGATAATATATAGTTTTATCAAGGTATGCTTCACTTTACTTCATGGCATGTTCGATGAATAAATACGAGCGTGTCAGATTCCTGGCACGATTATTGGTGGACTTTCCCTATGGGGTTATCTTCAGCGTTCACGTCATGTCATAGTATATAAACGGGTACGCTGAAGACCTTAAGCTAATGTGGCATATAAAGCTTTTTTCTTGGATATTATTCTGTGTTTGTTCCGTGTAGGCCTACAGTAGGGGGAGATTTATCGATAAATAACACGATATGATGAATATCCTAGCTGATGAAATCAAAAATATTAATATGCTTTAAAGGTGACGTCACATTAACTTAAACTATAATTAATTATTAGACGTTATTACGATACCTTTCTATATGTCCGATATCTGGATCAATACAATAATAAGTTGTAGAACTGACCTTGTTCGAGAACGTTTCATTCGTTTATATAATAACAATGACGATAAGACGATGACAGCACCTGTTGCTAAATATAGTCCGTTATCTTTGACAAATTCACGTAGAGATTCCATTGTAACTGTTTGTTTGTTGTTGAGGTTTTTTAAAATTAAATGAGTAAACACAACACGATTAAGCGATTACTACTGAGCCTGAGGTTAAAATTCAGCTCATGATATGAATAAATGACAGATTACGTTATCCGGACGAATACTCCGTTTTTTTTTCTGTAAAAATTAAAGATCCTGTAACTCATTTATTTTAAGGTTTTATATCATAAATATAATGCTTATAATGAAAATTTATCAATATTGTAAGTTCCAAAATGCATAATTTGTAAAGATATCACCAAATTTACATTACATGTTAATAAAAGGAGGTACATGTAGTTAGATATTTATTTTCTGTTAAGTCTAAGAAGAAATGAATGCATATAATTATTAAGTGATTACATATAATGTGGGCAAATATTTACAGTACTTTAACATATTTTTCGATGTTTGAAAATTGTTTTAGAAGCATAATTATATGCATATATAAATTTCACTTAATTGAGGTAACAACCTTAATTAAAACATGCAGGATCTTTGATGACTTTAACCTACTGAAAACTTCCTTCTAATTATAAATGAGCCGCGTCACGACAAAACCAACATAATGGGTTTGCGACCAGCAGGGATCCAGACCAGCTTCTGCGCAGTTTGATCAGGATCCATGATGTTCGCTATCAGATTCTCTGCTTGTTATAGTGCTTGTAAGCGAACAGCATGAATCCTGATCAGACTGCGCGGATGCGAAGGCTGGTCTGGATCCATGCTGGTCGCAAACTCATTATGTTGGTTTTGTCGTGACGCGGCTCACTTTATGACATCGATTTTCATGTTATATAGAAGCAGATATATGAAGGTTTACTATATTGTTTTGATTTATATTATTTAAAATTCACAATATAATTATCTGCCATAAAATGATCACTCCATGTCCACGTGAGTATATGTACTTGTTTATAATATTTTGCCATGGTTTTATATAATATACAATGTAACGTTACATGTACACATTCGAGGCGTATGAACCTTAATATTTAGAACGGGAGCTTTAAAATAAAGTACATGTTTTAATTGATTAATGGAAATTATTATTCAATACATGCTAACAAAACTATATCATTGATTATCTGATTTATAAACATCAGTAATAAATAATGTGTAACGAATAATTTACAAATGATGTTATCAATTGATACAAGAAAAACAAACTATTTTCCTCTTCAAGAAGCACGCAATTTCCCGCTTCCCTGAGATTAAATCTTTCTATTTCATAAGTAACACATTAAAATAAAGTAAACCTTTAACCTATTGGTACCATAAGTGATCAGGCTTTGCCACCAGCATAAAACCAGGCACGTCCTTGTTGTCTGGTCAGGCTCTATACTGTTGGCAGCTCAATTTTTGTATTTTGATATGGAAATCCCATGACTTTCAAGTATACTAATATATACAGTCTCGAGTCGAAAAGTTTTATATAATATTGTTGTTTCACTGCTTCTGAGGGATCACTCTTTTTTTATCAGATTGTTGTTATACTTTTTGTTTATAAAATATATTGGTACCAAAGGTGAAAGTACCAATGGCACCTAAGACGTCTTATCTTAATCATTAATTTGGTCCTTAGTTTGGTCTAGTTGCAAATTGTATCTTTTTTTGTTATTAATAAATTCTATTCGAAATTAATTTGTTTATTTTGCAAATAATATTTCACTTTTACAAACTTTAGAATATTATTGCAGCCCAATATATGGAACAGAATTAATGCATTTATTCTATCTTGCTTGATGACATTGGAACTTGCATTATGCTTAATTCCATCTTGCTTGATGACAATGGAACTTGCATTATGCTTGATTCCATCTTGCTTGATGACATTGGAACTTGCATTATGCTTAATTCCATCTTGCTACATGACATTAGAACTTGCAATATGATTGATTCCATCTTGCTTTATGATATTTAAACGTTGCATTATTCTGGATTCCATTTTTCATTATTTCATTAAAACATTTCGTAGTGACCAATTCTTTCATTGAGTGATAACTATTAAACTGGAACAAGCCATTTGGAATACTAAAATGTTAACGTCTTATACCTTTATGTATAAGCTACCTTTCTTCATGCTCTATACAAACCATTTACGGTTTAGTTTTTTTTTTGTATTACTTTTATGTAGAAGTCATTTAAAATTGACTATTTTTTGTTCCCTGATGGATTTTGTTAAAATGGGACTTATTTGATTTACAGCTCGCATGGCGTGATTACTATTAGCTTTCGCTTATATCCATTATTCAGTGTTTATGCTTAATAAAGCTCGGTGTCTGAGGCTTTGTGGATTATGTTTGATCATCTTACATTATGATAAACAATTTAAACAATGTCTAGCGATTTGTGAACTGTTAAGGGGCGAGAACTCTGTTATCGATATCAACGGATTTTTTCCATGATTCGCCTATCATCGGAATTTTCCGTACATGTATATATTACGGAATACCGTTAGGGCCATCGTGGTTATACGTTAAAATACAGAGGGCGACAATGCTATAAATACGTACCAAGCGCTTAATACATAAATTGCAGTGGAAAGAATATAAATACAAGTAGTAAGGATTATGCAATATAATTTTATACATGTATATGTATACAGTCTAATAGAAAAAATATGCTCGTAAACAGTTATTCAATGGGGCAGTTATACGTACAGTGGCGGATTCAGGCCTTGGCTTAAGGGCTGCACCTACCCCCAAAGATACGTTGATGAGCTGGGATGGAATATATACGTGTAAGTTTCATGCAATAGTGGTCATAGTGTACTCCCTTATCAAAACATATAATGCTGTCATCCAGTTGTTAAGCACCTGCCTACGATTGCGAAGGTCTTTATCTAATGACTTGGACATTGAAAAGCAAAACTTATTAATTGGCCTTTTAACTTAATAAATGTCTCAGTCACTAATAGTGGCGAATAGGTATGTAACACATTAAAATATACATGTATAATAAGGAAAGAAGGAAGTTGTTTATTTTTGTGACATGTGCATAGTCAATTACAAATGTTGGGCATATGTGTGTCTGATTATAGATCAGACATCCCGCACACACCACCACATTCACATACATTTGTGCTTAAAGATATACTATGCACATCTTTCAGTAATATATTTTTATCACAGAAATTTATTGAAATCTATAAAATTCTTACTAAATATGTTTTATTTAAATAAAAACACATACACATAATGTATAGGAATCTGCTTTCCTTATTACGGGTCAAGTAAAGTTGTGCCTGTCTTTAAAAGAAACTTCCATATATATTTTTGTAATAACACTATACATGAATATTCATACTGCCCAATTACAGTGTAAAGTATTTAAAGCACAATGTTTGTGTGAAGCCAAATTATATTTATTTTATTTTACAAAAAAAAATCAAGTTTGTACTGTACTAAGTCGTGGCCACGAGTTACTAAGTGACATGTGTGTGTTTTTATTTATCTCTTTAGTTATAGCCCTTTGTTGGGACAATTCTATGATAGAATTGGTCATTTTGTACGTACAAAGGCCTGTTAACATTGTTTATACCATAACTTGAGAGGGACTTAGTCCTGGTTTATTTTATTGGGAAGGGACATTGCCCATGGACAGTAGATATCCTATAAGGATGTTTGAGGTCACAGGTCAGATAAACATGACACTTCATGCAAAATCCTTGTCTGATGAATGATTTAGAAAGAATAAGCCGTAGTTTATATAACCTAAAAAGATCAGTAGATGACACCTAATAATTTTTAGGCAATTTGGTCAGAAATCAGGGTCACAATGACGCTAAATCTTTGACCAATCAATAACTTGTATAAATGGCACTTTTACGGACAAGTGAAGTAGGGGCATCCTTGTTAGGAAAATTCATATAAATAGTGTAATTTGATTGGTTATTTATCTCGTTCGCACGAATTAACTTTCTCGTGGCCACGACTAAACTTTCTCGTGGCCACGACATAGTAACTTGTTCCAACGACTTATTTATCTCGTGGCCACAACATATTATCTCGTTCCCACGACTTAACTATCTCGTGGCCACGACTTAGTAACCCGTGGCCACGACACAGAAACTCGTGCGCACGAGATAAATAAAAACACACACATGTCACCTTTGTGCCACCTTAAGTTTGATAAAATTCAATTTCACTTATCACACACGCTCAAAAAGAAGTGTAAACAATTGTATAAGAGGTGAGTTGCCACTTGTAGGATGAGTTATTAGAGACATATATAACTTTTTTTTCCACATGCTGGCGGAATCTTCAAAAACACGCACTTTTCGTCTGTCGCATCGTGTTCTCTTGTTTTTTAGTAAATTTACATGTCAGTCCCCAACTAACACTGTTCTGTATACGCCCCTATATAAAGTGGACGTAACTTTGTTTACTCCACGTGCCAAAATACGGGATCATCCGGAAAATAACGGGATGTACCGACAAAGCGACACCTGCTGTCATAATATGAACACAAATTATTGCAACTCGCATTATGCTTACTGCCAACTGCTTAGTGCGTACTGTCACATGTGACTATAATATCGCTATCGTTGTCATCTTCGTTGTCGATGCGAAGTGATCATGTATTGCATTATATTTGTAATCAGTGAATATATTGAAGCATATGAATGCTAAGACACATCAAATCAGCCAATTATTGATCAAAATGAATAGTTTAATTTGACATAATGTCGACAATATAAGTGGCAGATTTATAGCAAATTAAAGATACAACTACCATGTTACATATAGTTATAAAGAATGCTATCTTAAACACCAAACATAATACGTTGTCCTTAAAAAAAGATGCAATTAAACATATAGCATATTAAAATATGTGAGTTTGATGGTTTAGTAGGGAACACACAAGGTTGCAATTACATGAAAGTGCATTCAGTAATCATAAGGCATGATTGAATTCAGCAAAACGCAGGTTTTCATTGTCATAAAGAAGTATAGAAGCAAGCATAATGTAAGTTCCGATATCATAAAGCAAGATGGAATAAATGCATTAATTCTGTTCCATACCAATATGATCAATTATGTTTCATATTAAACATGAATATCAGATCAGGATCGTGATTTTCAATGACGTCATAGTAAGACACTACCATATCACTGTCTTTTATATCACTGTATTTTATCATTTTTCGGCTGCACAACAGTACCATCGATATGCCGATGGAAAGTCAATCTACAAATGGATAACAATATATTTACTCCGTCTTTCTGCGGCAAAGTTTTTGTCTTGTTGACAATGGATTTACCCTGGACTGCAAATTTATATAACAATGACAAATTTTGTCCGTAAACATCGGTACCATGGTATGACTATGATAAGTAAGCCTACAAATGGTATGGTATTTCATTATTGGTACCATTAGGAAAACTCTGAACGCACCCAATATGTTGTAAATACATGTACATGTATATCAAAAGTATCTTAACTTTGAGAAAAATAAACTGTAAATTTCATCCGGATTATTTTGAGCTCGGAAAATGAAAACCAGGCTAAATGTCTCAGACTTAGAAACTGTTAAAATTTGCGTGGATTCATTTTATTTACACTGTCTCGTTTATAGGAACATGGTGGGGCTAAGAGCGAGATTTGGTGCACTATTAACCGGTTTAAACTCCCCAGCAGTCATTTTTATGCTGCTGACCATTCCAAGGCGGCGCCCCTCTGTGTTCCTCAGATATATGTCTATATTGTTTCATACTGTTTTGGTGACACTTTTGCTTGTGTCGCTTGTTGTTTTCTCGTCTACGGTAAGTATCTTCCCCCTTATCCCCTAGTTTTTATTTCTTTGATTAACCCCCTTCCCCCGGTCTCCTGTCCCCTTCCCCTGTGCCCTTTGACTTTGCGGGCCTATTATTCAATCATTTATTTATTTTCTTTAAATTCCGTATCAGTAACAAATTATTTATCATTTAGTGATTAACCTGTCCGTGCTCTGTCTTGTGCCTTCTCCTGTTTTTGTTTGGGGTCCGCCTGGGCTCCTTGCCACTGGTTCTTGTTGCTGGGTCATATTGGGGTTGCGTTCATTGAACGCCGCCTTTCCTTGATGATCTTGTTTGTCATATTCTTTAATTTAATGGATAACGCAAAGTAAAATGAGATATTGCTAATCTTTGTATTTGGTGATGCAAGGGACACAACTTGTATAGTCTTGTATCGCATGTCCTCTAGAGTTATCTATAATGAATCTATAAATAACGTTAGTTACCCACCAATAAATTTACTTCGCCGGAATAATAAACATATGGATAATATAATAGTTAGTAAGTAATGTGTTCAATCTTAATTGTAAACTTGACAGATTAAACATAAATATATAAACGTTTTTAAAGCAGTAAAAGGTTTTAAAAATGTAATTTAATCCATTAGATACAGTTTCAACTGTAATAATGGTCAGGTTCAATGAGAATCAATTAATGGTCCACACGGGAGACCAAACAATCACAATTCGTAGAGGAGTATATTTTACAGGACTCAGTAGATTTATATAAGTGTCGCTATATAAAGATGTTGGACTAAACAACAACAACAACTAATTTATACTATTTCAGTCAATGCTTTTATTATTTGAGAAGTTCCCAACATAATAAAGAAGTATACTTGTGGTCCCAAATTAAAAGTAAAAATGTGTAATTATTCTCTTCAAGGACACATACACATGGTACGGAAAAACGTTACTGTAACATTGGTCCATATTACAGATCTAGTTTCTTGATATAATTGTTGAAACCTTAACACTTTTGTTCTATAAATAATTTATTATTATTGAAATATCAATTGGTAGATCACACATGAAACAACTCTTAACAGTGACTGAATAAAATACGGTGTTGTAGATATGTGTATCGACTAATTGACTCCTTTCCAGATAAGAAAAATAGGAGATGACTTATTAAATAATAAAATTTAAAATTATCATGTTCACTTCAAATTATCAAAGTTTATAAATACTTATATATCTTGCATTATCTATACATTGAAGAAAAAAAAACAAATTTGCTTCACCATCTAGTGAGGAATAATTCTAACTATACATTATGCCGGTAAAAATAAAGTGTATAATATATTTAGAAATCTTAACTTTATTCATTTTGCAATTATATGATCACGGTATCCTATTTATTCATTTTGTTTGAGTTTCACATTATTACCTCAGTTAAACGACACTAATTGTGTCTGAATACCCAGCTGCTATCAGAGCTTTATTTCTCCTATTAATTGTTAATGTACGAGTATGTACACCTTTCCAGCCAGATATGTTTGTTATTACTTGAAGTATAGTTTTACCATCTTCACTTATTTGTAAAAAATTTCCATTACTATCATTTACATAAACAAAACCTTGATCATCTACACAAACTCCACGTGACGCGCCTATGTCTAGATTGTTTAATGTAAACAAATGTTTTCCATTGTTGTCAATGGTAACAAGCTCATTTTTACCTGGTAGGTACAACTTACTTCCATCATTACTCACAGTAATATTGTAATAAAGAAAGGAACCTTCTCTAGATGAATAAATCACCTGCTGCTTTATACCGTCTGTACTATATCTATAAACAGTACCAAAAAGGTCTCTAACATATATCTGATCACCATGACAAGCCAGACCATAACACTCATGATGTGTATCAATGGATCTTTTCAGTGTCATATTACATGTAGTATCAACAAACTGAAGTTTCCTCCACGACAGTGATACAACAGCTACATTATCACCAACATAGCAAACATCATTTGGACAATCAGGAAGATCACACACACACTTTACATTATACATGTTATCAAGTTTCTTCAAGTTTTTGTTATCGTAATCTGCAAGCAGAATTTCTCCTGAAGGTAGTATACAACTTCCTTTAATGAAACAATCCTGACTATCAGCATTGGTCCTGATGTTAATTATGCGTTCCTCTTTGACTGACCATAAACCTGACGACATTGACCTCGATCTTTTTACACTCATATCATCTGTCTCAGTCTGTATTACCCTGAAATAGAACTCTAGATTATGGTCATAGAAACGATATACGTAACTTTTTCTGTTAATTGAAAAAAATGTGATAAAATGTGAACGGTAAAATATTCAAATATTGACCGGCTATGTTTTTTAATAAAAACATGAAACAAATGTTTTTTATTAATTATTGTAGATTTATAAAAGATGATAGTGATATCAAGAGCAAATATTTAATAATTTATAGATACAACTGCACTGAGTAATAATACATTATAATAATTAAAACTGACGGCTTTATCAGAAAAAGTAGACAGGATAAAAATAAATAAATAAGATAAATCGTTTAATTCAATCTTAGTCTAAAATAAGTTTAAATCAGTTAAATTCATGTGTAACTGCATAGTGCTCATGTAGCTCTAATCAAAGTCACCTGTTTGAATGTTCAATTGGAACAACCGGAATATTCACAAAAGTCAATATAATATTAACTTCCATAAATGTTCAGCTCATCTATATTTGTTGTCAGGAGGCTTTAAATTTCAGGCCCCGTGTTCACTTAGGAAATAGATCCCAATTTTGAGTGCATTGTTGTAGAATAATGCGCGGTTCGAGTTCAAATGCATCGGAATATAATTACGTAGACCTGGAGGCCTGAATGATTAATTACAAAGCATTTGAACAATACACCATGCATTAATTGTTATATGTAAGAAAAATTACTATCAATTTCCAATCTAACATGCCAATATAAAAGAAAATATATTCTGAGTAAATTGAACGTAGTATTTTCCCGGCATCATTTGGTTAATTCGTCAAAATTGACGTCATATGACATGTAATCATTATTTCTTTATGCTGTGCATGTTTAAAGACCTCGACCACTGTGACAACACCGACCATGACCTGTTCATGTATAACATATATAATATGTGGAGATATGTACTTTTGTATCAAACAGCTAAAAGGTATTGACTTAGATTGTTTTTTACCTTTCCAATCCAGGAAATCCTCTTTTCAGCTGCATTGGATTTTGTATTCCTGAAATTAAATTTTCATATATTGTATATTTATATTAGATAACGGCAATTCAATGCCTTCCTTTATGATAATAATGTTTTGATTCAACAAGTGAATTTGTTGAATTGATATCTTCTGCGGTTTGATAAAAAAGCGCTTGATTGAAACGTGTGTATATTATGCGCTTGCGAATATAATTATGATACATGTTTAAGGCTAACATAATTGTGCTGTAATAATAGGTCAACCTTTTGAGCTACTATGACAATTAAATATTTGTACGACGTATTGTCATGTTATTTTGGTTATTTATTATTAGTATATTACTAATATTACTATATATAAGAGTATCAATTTAAAGATTCAGCTGAAATTTAGCTCAAATTATCAAAGTAGACAAAGATGAAAAAAAATAAAACTATTAACTATGTGGATTATCAATATGTATTTATGTCAATTTGGATAAAAAACAATAACAACAAATGAATCACTATAACTAAGCATCGATAAAAAACAATAATAACAAATGAATCACTATAACTAAGGAAGTCAATATGTATCTAGTATAGGGCTATCTCTAAGTGCTTAATTGCAGTAGATCTAATTTATAAAGGTAAGTGCGTTCTTCGATGAATTTTGATTTGAAACTTTTCCTTAAAGACATACAAAAGTATTCCAAGATATGTTAAAATCTTTCACATCAGTATTTCTTTTGCTAACCTACAAAGGGCCGTAGCTAAAATGCATAATCAGAGTTTGATTATATTTGATTACATAACTCAGAAGTACTTATACAGCCAGATGAAAAAAAATCTCACAATCTGTATATTACAATGTTATCTGTACACTTTGCTGTTCTTATTGATAACGGAAATGATTTGAAAGACAAGAAGATTTAGGACCCCACGGACAATGACGCAAACGTTATGGGATGAAGAGCTACGTACAGTTCTTGATTATACATCATTCCATAATGACTCATATGAACGTATTATATTTAAAGTTAATAACTAAACACATAAAGAGTTAAAGTTATGGTTTAAAAGAATTAAAAGGTAATACTTTAGTTACTATGAAATGAAACGAAACAGCTGCTTTACACTGCACTTCTCGTCAATAAAATATTACTATTTATGGAGATATGTAGATAAGGTTTTTAAGTAGCTGTAGTGTTGAGAGACTGTTAGAGGAACAGACTGCCAGATGGAAAGATAAACAGCCCGAATGACAACGCAAAATCTATACTCCGCTGTCCTGCGCGAGGAATAATAGTAGCTAATTATAATAAGTACTAGGATAGGAATTATATTTATATTAATGAAAATTAATGTAAGGCAAACCTTCCAGTTGTGTTCTTCCAAAATATGAAGTATTTCCTGTAGAAAGTGGAATCCTCTCAGGACTCGACAGCAAGATTGGCCTTTGTGACGGTACCTCTGGCAATGGTGGTGGGTAGTTCTTAGACTGTGTTGTATTTGATATGGTGCCAATAGAATGATCTATATTGACGAACGACATATGTCCATATTCTAGTCCTTAGTTTAAAAGAAGAAGAGAAATATATGACATCGTAAGTCATTGTTTTGACATTGTATGTCATTATTTATTGCAGAGAAGATTGTTAAAACAAAGGCAGTCTGAAACACAGTTAAAAATGTACAACTTGAACTTTAACAAACCATGCCATGCATATTATAAGCACATTTTCTCATCACAAAAGTCAGTTTCAGTTATTGACCAACTTCAATATTCAGAAAGATACCTTAGTAAATCCTCTTATTTTATTTGAATAATTTTGTCAAGGTCTTGGTAACCATGGGTAATTTTAGAACAAATTTCTTACATATTTGGTTGTATCATGCTTTAGGCAAAATTGCTGTTCCATATATATAGGCTTTTGTGATCAGTCCTGCTTCAACTTATAATACTTTGATTGTGACTCTAATGTATTATTTGTTTAAGGTTTCATGTTTTACCAATCATTCAGGTGAGAAAAAGCAGACTGCTGGTTATGCACATCGTTTCATAATAATGAGCAATTGTGCTAAAAAAAATCAAAACATCTTCAGCGGTTTAAAAGTTATTGAGCGGACACGAAAGGAAAGTGTTACGGATGGGGAGACGGACGGAAGACATTCCTATAATTCCCTCCCACTTTGCGAAGGGGATTAAAAGTATAAAATTACTAGAAACAGGGCACTTGTCAAAATATAATGGGATGCATCTCATACAATGAATGACAAACCTTCCATTTCTGCCCTACCTAAAATTGAAGTATTTCTTGTAGAAACAGGAATCGTGTCATGTCTGGACAGCGGGATTGGCGCTTGTGACGGGTCCCCTAACAACGATGCTGTGTAATTCAGAGTCTGTGTGGTATTTGATATTGTGCCTATAGAATGATCTGTGGTGACTATCTTTCCAGATATATGTCCATATTCTAGTCAGAAAAAGAAAAATATATGCCATCTTAAAGATTGTGTTGAATTCAACTTCATTGTATATCCAAGAGAAGATTGTTTAACCTTTTTCCTCATATAAACGTGTTTTGTCGATTTTTGAGGCATAAAATAGTGAATAAATGCCCTATTAAGGCCCAAGACACTATTTTTCTTTTGTGAAATGTTGTAAAAATGTAATCACTTTTTCGGCGCCGCCCCCTATTAAAAAGGTATAAGAGGGGGGATGTACCCACTTTTGTTTGGGGTTTGAAGGGAACAGTAATCCCCTCATCATCAAGAAAATTTTGTGACATGTAACAGACTAAAAATGCCAAGTTTCATGCGTATGGAAACATTTTTCAAAGTTTCATAGCAGTTTGAACTTGTAATAGGAGGCTTTTCAATGAAATCGGACATTTTTCACATCATTCTCAAGCGGTAAAAGGTTTAAGAAAAAATAAATATCTGACAAACTTACCAAAAAAACTGACACTTTTTAAAATACATACATGTTTAACGGCGTGCATTGCAAACAATTATTATCTCCGCTAAAATCGACATTACAGTCAACTATTTTAATCTATATTTTTTTCGATCTGAAATGATATAACCGGTCATTAAGTCACATTATCATTTATTATGATAGTGGAATTCATATGTTTAAATACGTATTTTATGAAATATAATAATGGTTTGATATATAACACTTCGCAATAGACTCAGCTTACCTTCAGGCACTTCTGATTTAACGACAGCTTTTTGTAAAGACACATCCACTACGTGCTCTAAAATGGCATGCCGTCTTACTTCGTTGATACATTTGTCTAATTTACTTTTTTCACACGTTATTATAACATTTATCGGTTCTGCTATAACAGCATTGTACAGGTAGTCAAACATGTTGTACCATTTCGTACACATCATTTTCCTCATAACGAAATTCCCCGCAAACCTCAAGAAACCAAGCACGTTCGGGAATCATGAATGACAGCGGTTGGCTTGAATCAACATGCTGCCTCAAGGGCAGACGCCATGCAACGCTATGCAGTTTTACCACATTCCATGCCTGTAGTACATACCTAATGCTTGAAACTTTCTTGCCATTTAATATCTGATCATCTACACGACTCGATTAGAAACCATCAGGAAATGTCGTCATAAGCTTAAAAATAAAGAAATTAAATGATTGAAAAGACCCAAAAAACAAACAAGTATGACATTATTACTTAATTACAAATATACATGACAAAGAAACAATAAAGTACTCCAATATTTCCTTGTACTTGGCACGGAAGACATTCCGCGATTGTCTTGAACATCTACATCATGTAACAAAATATCCTACATTTGCTATTTCGCTCACATTAATCAACCATACAGTGATCTATATACGGTTATGAATACAAATGATTAATTGAATAAATCCTAAAACAAGAATTAAACAAACCCTGTTTTAAATTAAATAACAACAAGAAACACAGCCGACTTTTTAACTTCAGAAACAAACAATAAACGGTGTAAACGATCATTTTTAAAAATAATTAACTTTCCTTTTAATCCTTTTGACGTCTGTTTAAGGCATATTCAACATGTCCTTTGTCAAATCCAATAAAAAATAATTAATGAATACATATATGAAAACATGGAGCCAAACAAAAGATTGTGGTGTTCAAGTAAGACTATCATTCAAAATCACAAGTTCGCCCATTTCAAAATCAGCAAATCGGCGACTATTATTACATTGAACTGAGTCCATGTTATGATGAATAAGGTCAAATTAGTGGCAACTTTAGGGGAGCCGGGTTTTGTGGCCAGGACATTATACAGAACTGACATAGAAGATCGGAAGGCACCACCCTACTGAACTAACGGCATTTTTCGGAAAATAGCACCTCAAAATACCTACAATACAGGTAAGAACCCATTTCAATAGCCCAAACCAAAGCCAACATAACTAAAGATGAAGTGTGAAGAGAAAATTAACGAAGCATTTCAAATTAAAGATCATTCAATAATACATATAATAACATAACACGAACCGATTATTCTTTTAACAATGAAACGTTATCGCAAGTAACGATAATAAAACCTGTTAAAGATCACCGATGTTGAAAATCGATCTAAACACCTATCACACTTGCAAAGTATGCATTGGGCATTTTGCACTCCCATTACTAAGACTGTTTACTATGACAATGTCCAAGGCTTTATCGCCATTATCTCTCTTTTGTTGAATGTATCATGCTTTTTAAATATATCATCCATGGCTTTAGCTTTGCTTTCATCATAGGAAATTCTTCCAAACGGATCTCTACATAAAACCAAGTCTACATCTTCTGGATCAATGTGACGCCAATCAGACGACGTTTGCATTTCTACACATCGTTTGTAATTATAATCCATCCCCTTTATTGCTGCAAGAGCGGTCTCAAAATAACGGCTATTGTTGCATCCGGTTACAACCACGTGATGGCCATCTCTTAGTTTAGCTCGAATGTCTGTCACTTCACTTGGTGGGTTAAAATCGCCTGATAGTTCTTTCATCGTTGACTCAAACCCCGCTTACAAACAGTAAATAGTTATAAGCACAAATTTCCCTCATGAAAACAAAAACTTACTTACTTATAAATTTACTTTTATTAGATCATAGAGATAATGTAATTGATATGTCTGTTGTGATAGATTAGATCATAAGATTATAAGATTATAAGATTAAAATGGAAAAAAATTGTCTAAGTTAGAAATGAATGTAGACGACACTTTTCGAATGTTATTTTTTAATTACCAACCTACCTTGAAGCCGTGCCAGAATATCATCAGCAACTTTTATTCTTTTATTTTTGTCCCCTGAAGTACAATAAATTTCACATCCAATAAACAATTCAACTATCGAAGCAACAATTAATAATAAAGTTTTTGAACGATGTCATATATAATTAACCAATCATTTCAAATATATTTCATTTTGAAAATTGCGTCTAAAGTTTCTTAACCCATAGATACAAATCTCTTCGAAATATTCTGATACTTTTGCTTAGCTTATCATATAAAATATTAGTGTTGATTGCGATTATTAAGAATTAATACTATGAGGCGATCTAATAGCAATAAAAAAACGCAATATAAACCTTAAGTTGATGTAAAATTACTCGAAACTTACCTGAAGGTCCTGTTTTTGGACGGGTCAGTTGTCGAGAATGATTATTGCCGCACTTCACAAAATTAAACACTGCTAATGTTTCTTCATTGCCATATACCGTTGACAATTCACTGAGCATTGGTAATGATTACATTTCCTGATTTATTCTCTAGTAAGGACTTGAATCACTTCTATCAAGCGCACGTGCATACCTAACAAAAGCCAATCGGCCCAATAACATTCGAATCATCATCTTTGAAATATTGCCATATTTGGTTATTGCAACATCATTTTCGAATCCCTCGAATTTTCAGTTTCAAGCGCGAATATTTTCGACTTGGCTGCAAACGTGTGGCAAAAAGTTCTGTTATCAAGTACAGATGATAACGTCTCACTTGGTTTTCATCACGTGGTTACCTAGATACCAATAGAATCATACTGATATCGTCGAATGAGCTTTTGTTATTGATAATTGTATTTCACCACCGATTCTTTGAGATAGTTATGCATCAATTGATTGTATAAGTTCGCCTCAGCCTATCTTTGCAAGTATTGAAGTAAAACATTGCCTTAATACGGCCGCAAAATCTACCACAAGACATCTCTAGTATTTGTTGCCACTCTGTTAATGCCACAATCCATATTAATATATACAAACAGCATTATTTGTTTCTTTATTTTTTTATTGAAAAAGCAGTACATTTTTGTGTATTGATCATTTTAGTTCAGTAGTAGGAAACGTTATACAAAATTGATAAATATTGATTAAATGATGTGCAAAAATAATTTAATATAATAAAAGAATAGTCTTACGCAAAAGTATCAGTGAAAATCAATGCTTATAGTTTCAAAATAGTTATTATTTGCTACACGTTTTTGTGTGTGTTTATTTAAAATTTTTTATAACAACACAAAGATTGAATAGTGTTTCAAATTTGGTTGGTAAAATACAAATGAGGGTACCTTTTAGTTTCTTATTTCATTGTTTCATACGATGACAATACATTGAAATAAAACAACAAATGAACACAAATTATGTCAAGCAATTTCTTTTAATACAAGACAAAAAGACGCTGAATTTACTTTTCCTCATTAAAAATGAAATTAAAAGATACTTTAGCATAAATATGAAAAATATTCTGACATTTCTATTATATAGCATCATTATTTTATCGACTGAATATATTTCCTTTTTACCCATAAAATAAGTTTCATTCATTAAATAAAATTTAATGTGACCCTGGGGGCTAAAGGTTATTTTACACGAAAACTACATATGGCAAAACAAGTCAGTAATAAGCATAATTCCTTAAAAAAATATTAGTACCATGCACATAATAAATTTGAATTTGAGCTGATGCTCACTTGGTATTAGCAATACTGTGAAAGAATGTTAAAACGATTAATAATCTAGCTTAACATAAAGAATCCATTATGTAATCCAGCCAGGGTACTAACAAGTCCAAATAGTTTAATTGATCATTATTTATCATATGTAATATTTAGACACACTTAACTTCTCAGATTCGCAATCAACTATTAAGTACATTATTGAGCAATCTCCATAATTAATAGGGAGATTTACTATATTAACTATAACGTGTAACCTCTTATCAATATGTGATACGCCGGTTATATAACTTAATACTAGTTGATACGTTTAATGGTGACATAAAAAGCCAGTTATAATATATTGAGATTAACAGGGTTACACACAAGTCGGTAATATAAGAATAGTTTTTTTTTACTTTCTCATTAAAATTACATCCTAACTGACGCTGCTATGTTATACTGATGCAACCTTTACCTACTGGAGCGAAAATAATTGTCCATTAGAAAACCGGAAAACCGTTTTCATTATAAATAGAAACAAACTATGGAATTTTACAGCTAAATATACACACGATACAGTATCTAAAGAAACATTTCTAAAAATAGCCAGATAAATTACGTGTAAGATAAAATAGAAATTACATTGATTTATATATAAGTTCATAGTATAGTTTAGTGAAAAACAATAGCAAAAACATATTTAATTATAGTAAAATAATACTTACATATGATAATTATCAATACCAAAATGTTTAACACCAGTTTTACAACTTGTAACAGTAAACGAATCTGAAAAAATTATATAGTAAACAGACTAAGATAAGGTAGCTACAGATACTTTCAACGAACACGTTTTATAGTGTATAATAATTTGATGAATTTAGCAAAAGTAACAAACATACATTTAAAAAAAAGAAAAAAAAATTAATACATCTAGCAATTCCCACGAGAAAGATGATAAAATAGGTTTTACCTTTCTAACTTTAATTTCCTTTTATCATTATTACTTTATTGGAAAATGTCTGTCGATCAGTCCTTTAACGATGTGTTCAAAATAGTGTTAATCCATAAACCAATTTTCAGCATATTTTTATAATTGTAGAAATAAAATGTAAGTGTTGCAAAGTAATTTATTGTTCTTTCTTAGTGTGAATTTCGCTTTAAAATGCACTGCAATGTACGCGTCATGTGACCTAAACAAGAAACCCATTTTGACTATAAATAGAATAGGTATATAAAATAGACGGGCGGGTTTAGAGGGGAGGCGGTATGCTCAACCGGCGCCCTCACTACATTATTCAAGCAAACCCTCAATTCCTTATTTTTACTATTATTTTGAAAGAATTTAATATATGTATATTTTTCTACTAACTTCGCTCAAAAATGTTAATACAATGATTGCAAATTATGCGAAAGGTTATTGAGTATTAAGCAACTCATATTTCATAGTATAAAGTAAAAATTGTGCTATTATGTAAGATATCAACATGGTCTTTCAAATAGAATATTAGAAGTTTATGTTTGAATGACCCTGGCTTTCGCTAGAAAGGGTAAAACCTATTTTATCATATTTCTCGTGGAGTTTGCTGTACTTCAGAAAATCAGTAACTTTAAATTTAAACTAAAGATTAAATGCACAAGATGTCATAGATAAACAGGCATTGTTTAACAGGAATTATTACTATTAAATAACATTTCATATTTGAAAAGTTAAATATGCCTTCTTTAAACATTTGGGAAACCTATTATAGTGTTTCAAATTTTCACATTACATTAAATAATGATTTAAATATTATAAAACCGATGTATGCCCTTCCTTTAGAAGGAAAAAAATATTCTTGTCTGAGGCATAATGTGCCTTGAGATGTTTGAATTTCTTGTATTGATAAATGTAAAGGTGTTTTGATAGAGGTGAATTTGTAGTGCTTTCATTGGCAGTTTAACTCTTACATTGCTAAATATCTTAAATTGACTTGTACATTATTCAATCTGGACATTTTTTTATTAAATTTCAAAATAAATACCGACTGATTAACAATGCAGAACAACACAGAAGAAAAGTCAGCTTTTCTTGGTCTGCACTGGTCACATGGGTACAATTATTTTACGGCAAGCAATTGGTTAATAAAGTCTAAGTTATATTATAAAAAGTTTAAGCTGTGTTATATAAAGCTATTGCTTGGAAGGTAAATTACAAATCTTAAAATATTCTTTATCAACAGTAGTAAGGTATGATTTTTTCTTTTTCAGAATTTTGAAAATATTTTTTCCAAATCAATATATGTATTGCATTTACTTGAACTGATAAAATTCTACATGAGGGTACGTTTACATAATGTAGAATTTTATTGGTTCAAGTATATGTTTACTCAAATGTAGAATTTTATCAGTCCAAGTAAACGTTTACTCTAAATTTTATGTTTCATGTATGTAAATTTTATTATATTTAAGATGTGTATTTAATGTTTAATTCTAGTAAATTTGATGTTTTAAGCAGGTAGTACACTCCGTCCAATTGAATCTATATATGTGATATATTGCTAAATTTATATTTCGTGATTAGAATATTTTTAAATAAACATATCGCATAAAATCGCTTGTTTTCCATGTATATGTAGTAAAACTATTAGTTAATTTTTCGATTACACAGGTGTTAGTTACATAACACCTGTCAAAACAAGTAAATTTTATAGTCATGTGATAAAAAAGAATCTCAAGTTTGGTTTCATTTCATGTTATTGTGTTGCAAAATTGTATTAAACTCGTCCAAGAAAGGTTTGACAGAGGCCTACTTTTTAAAAAAATTCTTGAACTTGTTTGATACAGTTTTATATGGCAACTATGTAAGAACCTTCATATCAAATATTTTAGTGTCTTTTTTTTAATGAAAGAAAAGGTACTCGATTGTGTTAAAAATATGAAACATAAAGCTTGTACATAGAATATACTAATGCCAGTTTGAAACTCGGGCTTAGAAACATAATAATATGTATCAAACTATATAGCATTAAAAACAATTATATATATTATTTAGTTTTTGAAGATGTATTTGATTTAAGTTTTTCTAGATACCCTTACACATGGATCTGACGAGCCATACATGATTCTGTAAAAAAAGGCGGGGGGACTGTTTAACGCGCAACCTTTGCATTAATATAAAAAAGAATTAAAGCATATCTTTCTTTAAGGTATATCACTTTCAGTTTAAGCAGGTTATGAGTTTATATATTTAAGTACTGAAAGCATTCAAATCAAGGATGCATTAACCGTGCTACGTATGTTAAGTAACGGGCAAATGTTTAAGAATCAATGTGAACAAAAATTTAAAGAAAGAGAAATTGGTCATTTCAGACATTTTTACTGTTTCTGAATGTGTTAAAAATGCATAATCAACGACAAGTTTTACTAAATTTTACCTACGAAATATCAGTACATCATGGAATCATACGTCATTCTGCAAACACATCTTCAAAAACTAAATAGATAAGTTGTAAAAAATATATATGATTGTTTTTACGACTAATTATAATAGTATGATACACATTATTATATGTTTCTAAGCCAGAGTTACTATTGATTTTATAACTGAAAAAGACTCTAAAATATTTTCAAATCTGGACCTGGATTCGAACCCGGGACCTCTCACTATGAATAAAATCAAATAATTCGATTATCAAAGGGAGTTAACTGACTAAACTATATAAGTAAGATTACTCTCCCTCTTTTTGAAATGAGAAATATGATAAAATAGGTTTTACCTTTTTCAAGTCCAACTAATTGTACCGTGCGACGAGATATTGTGCTATA